TTTTTTTGGGGGGGAGGAAGGGGGAGGGAGTGTGAGGAAAAAAGATTTTTTTTTTTTTTAAGGAGAAAAAAGGTGTTTTTTTGTGTGTTAAGAGGGAAAAGAGTGTTTGTTAGAGGTGTGTTTTTTTTTTTTGGGGGAGTGGGGTGGTTTTTGTTTTTTTTTTTTGGGGAGGGTGTTATAATGGGAAAATTAGTGTGTATGTGGGGGGGTTTTTAAGGTTTTTTGGGTTGTGGGGGGGGGGGAAAGGGGAAAAGAGGGGGTAAAATTAAAAAAAAAAGTTGGGGATGAGAAAGGGGGGAATTTTTTTTGGGTTGTTTTTAAAAATTTTTGAAAAAAGTGGTGTGGTTTTAGTTTATAGGGGGGGGTTTTTTGGTTATAGGTTTTGGGGGGGGGGGGGTTGGGGGGGGGTTTTTGGGGAAAAAAAGGAAAAAAAAAAAGGGGGGAAAAAGGGGGGGGGGGGGGGGGGGGGGGCACCGTGAGTGTTATGAGCCTGTGCATTGATTGCAAGAGCGGAGAGTCGAAAGCAACCAAGGTTACGCTTGTCTCTGTTCGCAAGTCTTCGTGCTCGGCAAGCAGCACCGCCTGAGAAACAATCAAGCCGAGTTGACGCGAAAGTCGTCGGGACAAATGAAAAACACGAAGCACCGGAAAGGGACCAGATCATGGTTCGTTACGAAGCGGGACATGACCTCTCTTGGACATTACGACAGCGAATGAAAAGCGGTTCGAACCTCAACGGGGTGTGCCGCGTATGTACATTGCAGCATGGCTTGGTGTGAAAGCAGTTCCAAGTCCGAAGCGTTTTCTTGCACATGTACTTCATGACAGCATGGTTTGTTGTGTGCATACAAGCGGTTTGAAGGTACAAGTAGGTAGGCAGTACACGAGAAGCCATTTCCTCGCCTGAGCGGTGAATGCACCGATGATGCCGACGACGCACAGCCCGATCGCGATGACCTCGTTGGAGAAGGGGGTCGCCACCCAATACGACGCCCCGATAGCCCCGCACCGCGCAAGGGCGTTGCTCAAGGCGTGGCCCGTGGACCTAATCTGGGTGGGGTAAAGCTCAGGCCTGGCCCGAGGTATAGGACAGGAGGCCAGGAGGGGCGGCAGCAGCGTACACAGGCGACGGTTGGACGTACGTATACCTCCCCCTCCACGTCCCAGGTCAATGGTCTAACGACTACGGCATGCCACGTTTACAAAAGTACCCCCCCCCCCCCCCCCAGGTCAATGGTCAAACGATTACGGCATGCACGACTATGAGTACACCCCCCCCCCAGGGGGCGCCGCGAATTTAATATACGGTAAAGTTAACTGAGATACCGAACAAACCCGTAAAAAAACTGCCTGTATCGGGTGCCCGACACGTTCTATCTCGACGGCGTGCCTTGTGACCCCCAGGGGTGACAGCACGCATGCCCCGTTGTATGGAAGTGAATATGTCAGTACATCAGGTATACCGATCGACTGGGGTCATGATGGGAGAAGGTACACGACGAGCAAAAAACACATCATGGGAAACAGTCTGGATCGTTCACGGTTCGGAAGCGAACCCCACATGTTGCAGAAAGCTCCATACGCTGCCGCCGTGATCTGGGCTTGCGCGCTCGATGGCCTTAAGAAAATCAACGAGCGCGTACGCCACGCACGCACCCCCTTCCCCGAAAACCAAAGCAAGGACTCACGTCACTATCCACGCCAAGCAAGCGGACACGTACGACGCCCCTCTGGCGAAGAAGGACGTCACGAGGAGCCACGCCATCGCGCTGTTGACCGGCATCAGGACCGTCATCACCGCCGACACCGTGAAGTTGATCGACATGCTCAGTCGCCGGTCGAGACGATCCACGTAGAACCTCGTCAGGACGTTTGCCACCAGTTCGCTGAGAGGGGGTAACAGACAGGCCCAGAGGGGGGGGGGGGGGTAGGCAGTGGCTCAGCTTCAGGCGGTAAGAGGACATGAAGCTAGAAAACGATCGCGAACCGCAGTGATTGGTCACCATATGTATACAAACACGGACCTTGTTGCGGATCCAAGGGCGACCTGCACCCAAAAGAAAACGCCTGTGACGTCATATCCGAAGAAGCAGTACGGCTGAAATTTTTCTAGCCTGAAGTATAGGTGTAAGAACTCCGAGCCAAGAAGTAAAACCGTGCATACATGTTCGTTAAGACTGCTGTCTGGTGGGTATTCTCGCACCACTGAACAACTTTTTCTACGGCTTTCAACGTTAGGTTTGCCGAGCTTTCTTTGGGCGGAAACACGTCACCGCGAACGTAGGCGTACCACGCACAAGCGCCACCGGATGTAGGCCATAGCGAGCTTCGGGCATGCGCGGCAATGTACCCACGCAGAGCCCCTCATAAAGGAATCGTGAGAAAAACGATTCGCTTCCGTCGGAGAAAGACGTGCCGAAGCACCACAAACATCGAAGCGATACACGTATAGGTATGGCGGCATCAAGAAGGTATCCTGGACTTCTTGATCTATGGATAGAAATGAGTGTTCACATTAAAAACCGTTCCGATATCTCTATCCGGTACCTCCCTCTGTCCGTCTGATCTAATACTTGACGCGGTCGACTACGGTAGTCACAGAATAACTTACCCTGGAAAAGTCTTGAAAAAATGGTATATATACTCAAGTAAAAAATGGACCCGAAGGTGTTACAATTCCGAAAAATAAAATGAACCTCTGCACCTGGCCGAGGCGAACAACAGGATGGAGTAGTCGAAAGAGCACTCATCGCTTTCCCCCAGGATCTTCGACGACAGCAGAATGACTCCGTAGTACAGGAAGCCGAAGGCTGCCCAGATGATGCACGACACGATCGTCCTTGACCGGAGGTCGGGTCTTCGCCAGAGGTTCGCCACGCCGCCATGCCTGTCCTTCGGTTTCTGCGGAAAAAAAAGGGAAAAGGAAGGGTACTTGAATTGGTTTGTCCTTTGGTTTTTGTAGAAAAAAAGAAAAAAAAAGGAAACACGAAAGGCCCCTAACTTGGTTAAGAGTGAGAAGAAAACAACACCGGGGTTTTACCGTTCTACTGTGCGACCCCGGCTGATACACGTCAAGGGCATAGATTGGCACCGGAATGCATGAGACGAAATCACACAAGAGCTTGTGAAGAGAGGTGGGATGCCCAAGGGCAGATACTTTTGTCAACCACCCCAAGGTCAACTTTTTGGAAAATTACGGACAGGCTGATTGATCGAGCGACAGATTAAACTTGCTGTTCTCGTTCGACGTGGAACAAAAGTCTGGAATAAATCTATAATATCGAAAAACGACCACCGCCCAAAATCTCATGTACTAACAATAAAACCTGTCGTCTCTTTCGCTTTCGCTGTTTTTGTATTTTGAACGAACAAATGAAACGACAAACATGAAAAAGACAACGGAGAAAAAAAAAATAAAGCAACAGCAATCACGCTCTCCCACATGATGGCAACACCTTTCCACGTTTCTCTCTCGTCACCTCTTCTGATTTTGCTTTGCTGTGCTCGTATTTTGACAGAGCACATGAAAAGAAGAGCGAACAAAAGAAAACAGCGCCCCTCTCCCCACATGATTGCAACACCTTTCTCGCAATGTTAATGTTGCTTTCTAGATTTCCCGGACGAATCCCTTGCAGCTAGCGCCTACACTCAAGAACGTTTGGCAGTCAAGAACTTGGGCCTCTTTTCTATCGCCACACCTCTTCTGGCACGATGGTGATGGCCGTGAGCTCTATCCCGTTCTTGTTGGCGATCTTTCTCAGAACCTCTTTCGCCTCTTGTACCCTGCCAAGGATTGTTTAGAAGCACCCGTTGCCGAAACAAAAAAATGTCGTCAATAAATACCATGTAAATAGTTGGGCTAGAACCCAAGCCGTTAAATCGAAATTTTTACATGCAAGCAACAATCGACAAGCACACAATTAAAAAAAACAGTAAGAAAGCACACAATTAAAAAAAACAGTAAGAATTTAAAAATTTAAAAAATTAAATCTTTGGAATTGAAAAAAAAAGAAGAAAACGTTCGATTCTTCGACAAACTTCGACACTTCAAATAGTCACCTCCCGTTCGCGATGAGCCACCGCGGGGACTCCGGGATGAAGCTGAAGCAGAATAGGACTGTCAGAGGGGGCACCGCAGATACGAGGGCCAGGAGGCGCCAGCTGTGTCCGAATGAGAGGACGGCCCACGCCGCGAAGCCCACGAACAAGGATCCCATGGCCCACATCACTTGGACGTCCACGAGGATACTGTGTTGCCGGCACGCGACAAGAAACAGAAGCTGCTCTTGCTACAATGCCGTCGTAGACATACGGTGATATTTCTGTTTTTCTTGCGGTTGTTGTTGTCTCCTGCTGTTGTTATGGTCGTTGTTGATTGGTTTGTTGTTATTGTTGCCGCGAGGATTACCCCGTTATTGGTGCACCGTGCCGTATGCATATTTATTGCCACCGGGAGAGTGTCCGTCGAGGTTATCATGTATGCAGCAGAAACGGAACAAGCACGCAAAAGGAAACGTTTCAAACGCAATGAACGACGGTTTACCGTCCAAACGCACGCACACACGACGGCCGCATGTATGCATATGGACCGGCTTCCCCCCCTGTGCGTCCAACCGGGATAGAACCGCGGACCCACGAACGACGGTTTAAACCGTCAAAACGCACGCACACCACGGGTGTATGTATGTATGTACCAGGTTTTCCCTCCCTCTTCCCCCAACCGGGATAGACCTCGCACTAACCCGTGAACAAACGGCTTTCACCGGAAACACAACACACAACAACACACATGACGATTCGAGCGTTACCGTACCGGCTTTTCTCCCTGTGCGTGATGAGCTCCCCCAGCAGGTCAAACGGCACCTCCATGCCCCCGGCCCCAACCCCGACGAGGCTGCGAAAGAGCAGCAGCCACCAGAAGCTGGTGGCGAAGGTGGTCGACAGGCCGAACAGCACCACGAGCAGCGTCGCCACCAGGAACGCCGGCCGCCTCCCGTAGACGTCGCTGAAGACGCCGAGGACGATAGCGCCTACCTGTGTGTTGGTTGTATATGAGGCAAGCGCCAGTTAGGTACACAGTGTACCAGGGCCATCGGGGAACTCTTGCCAAAAAAGCGGGTGTGATTATTAATTATTAATGAGCCGCGGAGCGCGGAGCGCGACCTTTTCTACTTTTTCCCTTCATCCAAGGCGGGAAAAAAAGGCTCGATATATCGGGCATGTTCCAACGCGATGGAAGGGGCCCAAGTTTGATTTCCCGCCTAATTTCCGGGCGACCGAATATGCCCTCCTTTTCGGCCGGAGCGATCTGCCACACTCCACACCGCGTTGCCCGCCGGTCTCTACCTATCTAAAGTAGTGCATTCGTTTCTGCCCCCATTTGTTCATTTTTGGCCGGCGGCAATGCTGTTAGAGGCCGATCGTTTGTCGGTACTTCTGTAGCATCGCGTGTGTCACGGCGTGTGTTTGTTCCTCCGCTCGATTGTTCCGGATACGTGTGGCGTGCACATGTACCAAGTGCGGAAGTCTCCGCGCGTGTGCGGTTGCCTGGAAGCGGGGCGTCTCACACAGCATCGCAGTACAGACTACTGCCGGTAGAGTCGCCCCCGCGGCTCATCCCTCCTCCCTGCTGTTAATAGTATGCATCCGACGGCATTAGCTGAAGCAGGAACTTGAACGCTGTTGGCGTTCGTGCAAACCGCCAGAAAAAAAATGTCATCTTGCTCCGTCCTCGAACGCATGTACATGAAATGTTTGTGCTTCTTACACATCTATTGAGCACGTAGTCCAATTCAGCACTTCAATAGAGTACAGATATGTCTAAATATTCTATCGGTGGGGTAAATGAGGTTTCATCTACCTTGGGGTGGATAAGAATTTACCTCACCGGCGGGGTATTAAGACGTGCCGATTTGGCCACAGCAGTACGAACGAACACAAACAGCAGGACAAATAAAAAGCTGTCATATAGAGTCCGCAAAGTCAAAAACTAAAAAACACCAAACAAAGTGCCAAAACAAAACACATCACCCAACTCTACATGGATCGTGAGGCTCAACACACAATGCCCCTTTGGTAATATGGCACTTCTTGCTTGACCACCGCCCCAACGACTGGTTCAAAGTCATCGTTGTCTACAGCTTTCTTGAGGCCGCCCCCGTCAGTGTCGCAACAACTTTCGGCGCCCAGCAAGAAGTGGTGCATTGACAAGGTGCAGTGTGTGTTGAGTCGGCAAAATATTTATGTAGTTGCGGTGTGTGTGTTTTTAGAAAGTAAACATAACCTCACAGAAAGACTTGTACCCGTTCGAGATATGACCTCAGTCGAAAGGGATGTGGTGGAGTCTTTTCAGTAAGTGGAGGAAAACCGGCTGGGTACTAGGGTATTTCGAGTCTAACCTGATGATGTATATCAGTGATACCAGCTGGTTGTTTGCTGTTGTTGTTGCTGTCTTCACATTAAAAGCTGGTGCTAAGTACAAAAGCATCTGTATAGGCGGTTACATTCTTGGCACAACCCCCGTAGTTTTGTTTTGGAACCTTGGAGTGTTTTTTAGAAGTACGTCGTTTTTGGTTCTGGGAAGACGCAATATATGTGGTTGTGTTTGGTTGTGTCCTGCACGCATACGGTTGGGGGCGAGTAGGCTGTGTGTCGCCATACAGCAGTAGAAAACCACGCCGGTATGCATACATGGATCTACCATACAAGTACATGATATCACCACGACCATTCTTATCTCTTCCGTTCGCTGCGGAAAATTAAAGGGGTGCTGACGACTTGGGTCGGAAGCAATGGTTGAAGGGATTTTTTCCATCGGAAACTTCCTGGCTACACCACCAGAGCTACAGTATTTAGCCCGAGAATACACTGGTTGGTCGGTGGGGAGGACGGCAGAAAAATATACCCCGATGGATGAACCGCTTACATATCCCCCGATTGGTGAACCGCTTACTTTCGAAGCTACTGGTTGCTGGTCCGAACCCGGTGCGGGCGCTGTACGTTTTTTTATCACGGCTCAAAGCTAGGATATATCGCTGACCCTAACCCGAACCCAACCGACCCGACGCAAACCTATGGCATTGGAAAGTGCTAGGTCACTGTACCAAGCAAGCCTAGGCCGCGGCAAGCCGCGGCAACGCTAGGTTGCTGCACAGTGAACAAGCTAGGTTGCTGCACCGTTTGCGTTCTAGGTTGCAGCTGTCCCGTTTAGGCTAAGCCGCGGCGCAGGAGGGGGGTAAGGGCTAGGTTGCTGTGCACCGTCAGGGCTAGGTTCTTGTGCACCGTGAACGCTAGGTTGCTGTATACGGTGAAAAGCTAGGTTGCCGTGCAGGGCTGCACCTACCCAAGGAACGTTCCAAGAAACGGTATCCCGACATGGAGACCACCGCTTTCGACCAAGTCGTCAGCACTACTGGACAATTTCGTGCGCCATTGTTGTAGCAGCAGGAGGGCTTATTTCCTTCTTTCTGTGCATTGTGTTCTTCTCTTGTGCGGTCCGTGGCTATAGTCTATTTATGCGTCAACCACTGCGGTATCAACGACTGCCGGGAAGCATCGGTAGCGCGCGCAATCGGGATAGGCCCGAGAGCAACGAGAGCAACAGCGTCGGGTCGCCACGACCCACGACCAACACATGCATCCGTGCACTGCATACATGCACAGCTCTCTGCGACATGTTGGTTGGAAGGATCCTCTCACCAACTCGCCAGCGAATACGCTCGCGGTGAGGGACCCTTGCTGGAAGCTCGTCAGCCCCCACTCCGCAGCGACGCACGGCACGAGGTAGCTCAGAAGGGTGACCTCGATCCCGTCGGTGCCGATCGCCAGCCCGACTGCGGTCTTCATCAGCGTCACGAACTTGTTGTTGCCTCTGGAGGCCATGAGGATCTGGCCAATCGTCACAGATGGTTTGTACAACAGAATGATGCTCGTGCACTGCATCGATGATTGGATCGGTACGGAGAACCCCGGAACCTGGTTGATCTACATACCACCGGTGCGCCGGCCACGTGACATGCATTGCCTTCGCGATGGGCAACTCCGGACTAAATGTGACACCTTTAAGACTAGGCAGACCACCTACAGCAGCACGACCAACCTCTGTGAGCAGCAGTCAATAGCAGCAAATAGCAGTAGGTGCACCTGCACCAACAAGAGGAAGCATCTATTGTACATATGCAAAAGTAGGCACTATTACTGCTGTACGTACATGCATGCTACACGCTTGTGTACAGCAGTCTCCATTTTTCCGCAGTCCAATGTCAAATAGATTCACGCACCTCCTCCGTCGTCGAAGGCCCCAAAGAAACCTTTTTCCGAGAGTCTATCCCCATGATAGCTGCACTTCACAGCGGCAGCAGCTGTCTGTGTGATATCAGGTGTGTGCTTCCCGCGGGTTCGCGGGTTGACCGCTGCTGTTGTTTTGGAAAGCGTGCTCCGTGCTTGGTGTCTCGGCTTTCTTCGTCCGTCCCGGTCCGCTATTACGCCGCATTCTGGACCGAAAACGCCTCGCGAACCACGATATGCATCCCGTGAATAAAAAAAAAACATTCGGCCAGCCGCCCACACGCGGGAGGAGAGCGAGGTCACGTCAACGGCAGAACCAGCATCACACCCATGGCTCGCGTTTGGCTCCCTTTGGCTCTCTCGTGCCAGGTTTGAAGATATTTTAGTGCGTGTGCATGGTTTTTTTTAGAGCAACGCTGTTGTTGTGTGCTCCATGAGGCAGCAGGACAGAGGTAACTGGAGGCCACAACTTTCTTTCCCAACTCTCTGTACTTCAATTTGCTCTCTTTTGAGCGTTGCTGTATACGGGAGGCAGGTCCTCGACCCCGTCGCACGACCACATTTGTGTGGTGTGCCCTTGTGCTGTCCGGTGCAGCAGGGCGATGGATGGCACGAACGGTGTGGTGCATATGTTTTAAAATACCAACGCGTTTTTTTTCTCCCCGCCCTCTTACTGCCTCATCATCTACATGCGAACCTTACAGCTCGGTTGCGTGGATGGCTTCTTTGTTGGGCCGCTGCCTGGCCGTACCAACAGCTCGCCCGTCCACCGGCACCAGAGCAGCGCCATCGTCACCAGTGGCACCCACCGGGCGCCATGGGCGACTGCAGGTAATTCCGCACAAATAGGCCCGTTGAGCCCATTCGGGAGGGATGCTTATGCGTACACACCGAAAGTCGCCGCCGTCGGCGCTGGCGTCTGGCTATGTATGCGTACCACAGCTGTGAAGTGTACGGCTGCTGTGTACAGCAGTAGTAGCGATGCGCGTGCTGACTCGTACCACAGCAGCTGTGCAGAAAGAAGCACCAGCTGCAGCACGGCTGTATGTTTTTGACGCAGAGGGCAGATGCCATATGGTCAGCCAATGTTTGTTGGTATGCCAGCAAGAGCAACAACTACCCGCCGTCGGCTTAGATAGGTTGGTCTCCACAAGATTCCACGTGCAAAGATTCACCCATTCGTAAGGATACACCCCCCCCAACACCATCCGGTGGCACCTTGTTTGTGGATCAACGAACACGAGCCCAAAGTATAGAACTACTCATATTACTTTCATTAGGGTTACTCTGAGATCAAGTAAATACTCCTGTAGGGTAACATGAGGTAGCGTACCACCCTCCGTACCAAAAGTCATCACCGGGGCGAGCACAGGCGTATCGGCCGCGCGTGATACTCTTCGAATCCCCCCAAAAGTCATCACTGGGGCGAGCACAGGCGTATCGGCGGCGCTCGCTTTCGCCACACGGGGTAAATGGCCGCGGCACCGCTCAACGTGCTGTTCAACTTCGTAAAAAGCGATGGATGATGGAGACTACGGTGCTGCGGCTCCCTTTTGAGGGAGGGAGAGAGCGTACAGCAGTAGGGTGACACAAGATATCACACCCCCTGGACCGATTTTCAAAGCTCTTCTACAGCAGAAAGAGTGGCAGCACCGAAAACGGCGGCGTTGGAGCCCGCCTCGTCGACAGCTTTCCCAAAACTCATCGCTTAATTTGTACAACATTTTCGTCGTGGAGTAATCGAGCTTTGAAAATCGGACGGTCCGGGGGATCTGGTATCTTGCGTCACCCATGGTAATACGGTTCGGCTTGCTTTCAGGGCAACCACAACCACACATTACCCAACGATAAGAATACAAGAGAAAAAATGTAACCGTCGGTAGAGGCCCTCTTGGAACGAGCAGCCCATCGCCCCATTCCCTCCCCCGTTCCTCGTATCCTCTTTTTTTTTTTTTCTTGTTCGTTTCCACCGAGAAAGGACCGATACTGACACTAAGCGGCGGAGGGCCGCGGGGAAGTCCGGCGGAAGCGACAGCAGTCGGTAGCAGCAGTCCCACGAGAAGCAGCAGCAGCCTTGAGGCGGCTGCCTCTTCCGCCGAGACTACGTCGCAGGTGCGCCCTGGAGCGGGGGGGCTTTTCATGCTGAACATTTGAAGCTCCGCTTTTTGGGGTTTTAGGAGCATGTAGACACGGCTCTGCTGGGGGCTCAGGTATTGTAGTTGGAGATGTTGATGGCACCCCCTTGTTGTCCCATCCGGGGGGGACTCTGTTGACGTCTGAACATAATATTCTATGGGGGCTTAGGGGCCTGGCCTCCCCCCTCACACCCTGGTGAGGCTGCCTAGCGGGTCAACGGAGGGCATGTGGCTCTCTTGTCCTTGTCCGTAGGCAAGAGGGCACGCGTAGCGAGTGGGATTGCTTACGTCCTGCCCCCCCCCCCGCCCCCGTAGCCCATGTTTTTTGTGCTCTCAATCCCGTCTGGTCTCAAGGCGTTCGTGGTAAAGGCTCGTTCGTGGTAAAGGATTGTAGTGTGGTGATAGTGAAACCTGTGTATTCTACTACATTGTATTGTCTATGCGGGGGGGTAGGGGACAGATGTGGGACTGCAGCTGGAGGCACCATGTGTAGACTCGCCTCTTTTGCTCTTGAAAAGAGCCGTTGTCGCTGTGGGTCCTCTGATACAGCGGGTGGCCGATGTATTGAGGGTGGACGAAGTCTCTTGGCACAGATAAGAAACACTCAAGTTGATGTTGACTTTCAACAGGGCGGGTGAAGCGGGCCGGGCACATCATGCTTATCCTACGGAGGACCCACGCCGCATGTTTTCCTAGGGCTATCAATGCCCGTTAGTTGTCTGGTCATCCCGTCGGCCCAGCGTGTTGCCTCGATTTGCTTATCTGGCTGACGGCATGACCCACGTGCTAGCATCATGGCATCCGCTGAACTCTTTGAGAGCGTACTTGCTCCACAACAACAACAACAAAGGGTACGGCTACGGGCCGTTCACAAGGTCTTGCCGTCTCGGCGTGTATCCATCATAGCCTTCGTAAGTTAGTAATTCATGCAATCGGGGTAGTTGGGTTAGGGGTAGGGATAGGGTCTGCGTACCCCCCTTCCTGTACTATTTCCTCATTAACTTGTTTTCTCGCGAAGACGGTCCGTATCCATCCCCCCCCCCGATGCTCGCTGCCCCGCCACGCCTATCCAACGCCCCTCTACACCCCCCCTTCTCGCACGCCTAGCTAAACGAGTCCTCGACGTACATACTCGATACGAAAGTGTTGCGGATGGACTGCAGTTTGGTGACCCCCCCCCCACCCCCCACCCCCCCGGCAACGCCTTCCGCGGGGCCTCTTTCTCAGCTGGAGCAAGACGAGGAGGGCGGCAGCGACGACCGCGTCCCCGTTACTCTCATCAGTGGCTTCCTAGGTGCTGGGAAGACCTCGCTCCTGCAGAGCTTGCTCAAGAATCGGCAGGTGCGGAGGCGGCGGTGGTTTTCGGATAGGTCCTCACTCGCAACCATGTTCTTGTTCTTGTTCTTGTTGTTGTTCTTATTTCGGCTTTTGCTTGTTGGTGAACCGAGTGCACTCAGTAAATGTCTTGCTGTGGAGTGCTTTGTAGGCTCTTGCTGCTGCTGTGCTCGACTATCCGCCGAATATGAAAGCGCTGCTTTTAGTGTGAAGGCACCGCGAGAAGCGGCACGCACGAAGCAAGACTTTGAATGGCCTCTGTGGCACATTCTTGGGTGCTCTCCATGTTGGTCGTCATGTCATAGCCCGGTCTCCTTTCACAGTATCTGATTTCAGCGCCAATGTCATATCACGCTGGTGTGACGGACGCCATGTCGCCATGTGCTATTTACAGAGCTGTGTAATTTTTTTCAGAGCCTGGGAAAGTTGGGTGGAGGGACGTGCATGGTTTGTCCCCTGGCGACGATATCTTTCGGGTCGATGCGATTAGCCGATGACTGACTGCTGTGCTCGGATATGACACTGTATTGTTGGTACGATTGGTGGTGCGTTTTCGATCATTTTCTCGCAAAATTATAGTTACTCGCTAATATATAATAGTGTGCTTTGACGCGGCATGATGCCATGCGATCGCAGGGTATTCGAATCGGGATGGTTGTTAACGACATGGCGGAGGTAAACGTGGACGCGAAACTCGTAAGGGACGACCCCAACGCGCAGGGAGCCGATTCGGATACCGTAGAGCTCCAGAATGGGTGCATCTGCTGGTGAGTGTCGTCACTCAACAAACACAGCACGAAACACACACACACACACACACACACACTGGCGTCTTTTCATTGGTCAACCGGTTAGCGCGGTCGATTCTAATAATAAAGACACACACACACACTGACGTCTTTTCATTGGTCAGCCGGTTAGCGCGGACGATGCTAGTAATAAAAACACACACACACACACACACACACACTGACGTCTTTTCATTGGTCAGCCGGTTAGCGCGGTCGATGCTAATAATAATAATAAAAAAAAACAACACACACACACACCCGTTGGGTAAAGAACCTTTGAGCATTCGATTACAAGTGTTGGTGTTGTTCATCCCTATCCGGCTACAGCACAAGACGGGCTTCTTTTCATCGGTCAGGAGGATAGCGCGATCGACACCAAGCAAGAAGAAACACACTCGTATACCTGTCTGTGAACCAGGTCGTGGCCGCTTCTGTCGCTGTTTTGGTCATGGATGTTGTTGGCGGCGCCTCTCTCCTGGGAAGCGCAGCCGATGGCCACAACGCGAACCACGAGAACGCTGTCAACGACGCGCATGATATAGGAATCGATAAGCAGAGACAGACCCCACCAGCGAGCAATATCTTTGAGGGCAAGTAAATAGACATTCCGATATAAACACATCCTCCCGTCTATTTTCGCCATACCCCACCCCCTCGACAACAAAATGCTTGTTGTTTTGAGCACCCGTAGACGCATACGACAATTGTTAGCACTGCCGTGTAACTTTGCCGTGCAGGCGCTTGACCAATTTAACCCGAGGGAGGGGGGGGGGGTGAAGGCATCTAACGCAGATACGGCAGTAGACGCGCCAAACCAAAACCCAAACACGGTATGTAACCACACGGGACAGTGGGAACTCCAAGTTCCGAACGATGTACCTGCGTCGAATAGAGGTATACCCTTTTGGGGTCACTGCTTTGCTGACTACTTTTGTCGTCGCAGGTAGGGAGTGCCTCTTTCGATCAACCTCTCGTACCTTTTGTTTTGTTGGGTCTCTTAGCCTTCCTCTCCCCCTTTTGCACCCCTTTCGTTGGCATCCTCTTGCGATCAACGTGTTTTATGCATCAGCAAGTGTCCCACTTCTTTCGTTGCGTCTCCTGGCCTTCATGTCAGCCTTTTCTCCGCCCCTTTTCCTTGGTATGCCTCTTATGACCAACCTCATTCCATTTATTTTGTTGCGTCCCCTGGCCTTCATGTCAGCCTTTTCTCTGCCCCCTTTTGCGCCCCTCTCAAGGGCATCCTCTTGCGATCAACGTATTTTGTGCGTACAAAGTACCACCTCCTTTTTTTTGCTCCGCCTGGCCTTCACGTTAGCCTTCTCTCCGCCCCTCTTCATGGTCGTTGTCCTTCCGGCCGACGGTCGCCACAAAAGTTCGATGAGTGAGGAGCTCTTTGTGTCCATCAACCACCTGGTCGAGAGGGCCGAGGCGAGGGGCGCCCCTTACGACCATATCGTCATCGAGTCCAGCGGGATCTCCGAACCAAAGTCTGTCCGCTCGACCTTTCAAGACGCGGAGTCGTACGGGGTGCTGCTTATGCAAAAGGTGAGCTTGCCACGCGTGTGTGTGTTTTTTTTTTACTGTTATTACCGCGCTACCCGGCTGACCAATGAAATGACGTCAATCTCGGTGCGGCGAAAAACAGAAAATGCATCTTACGGCCATAATCTCGGACTATCCCTTGAGGGGGCCTCATGGGGGAAGCTCAGTGTGTGTGTACGTGTGTGTGTTTATTTTTATTTTTTTTAGCCTGCGTCGGTGACGTTAGCCGGCTGACCAATGAAAACACTTGAGGGCCGGGCTGGTAAGAAGATCTTAGGTCCCCGGAAGGGGGCCAAAAATCGAAAAACGCGTATTGCGCTGAATTCGAACGCCAAATGAATCTCTTCTTTCCACAAATGTTTGCAGAGAGAGATACACGCCACCGCCCCACACATGCCCTCGCCCAAACCTAGCTAGGAAGCCACTGATGCAAAGATCGGAGGGCAGCATATGTGTAAGGTGAAGTTTCTTTGGTTTGCGTCGACGGCGCTACATAGCCGGCTGACCAATGAAAATAGGAGGAGTTTTTTTGTGGTTCGTTACATCCTCCGCGATAGCTCTCTTTGCGCTACGTACGTAATGCTGTTAGGTTGGTTGATGCCCTAGGGCTTGCCTAGGGTGAGGTGGGGTAACGCAGCTGGTTGACCCCCCACTCCCACCCCACCTGAATGACCTGAAAAGACGGGAAGTGATATCGATAGGATAGGGAAAACACATTTTTGAGCCTCATTTGGCAAAGTAGGAAGGAACGATTGGCCATCGGTGATCGGTTCTGCGATAACAATGCTCCGTCTTCTCGAGGACGCATGGCCAACGGTCTACCCGCCACGGCATGCAAAACATGAGTACCCCCCCCCCCCCCCCCCCGTTTTCGCTGGCCGGCCTTGAAAAGTGCGGATGGGCCCCATGGGGACAGTGGGGGATGCCGGAACCCTTTTGGGGGCGTACACCCGTTCCGAAAAAAAGGAGCCCCCCCCCCACCTGGGTGTTTTAGGGGAGGGGGGCCCCCCGGACGGAAAAAAACCAACCCAGGGGGGGGGGGGACCCGGGGGGGCCCCAGGGCGAAAAGTTTTTTTTTTAAAGGCGGCGTTTGTGTTTCG